ATTTATCAATATATCAAAGTATTAGTTTATTAAATAACCTTTGCTCCTATGCACAGCATCATTTAAAACCTTAAATTTTATCAATCAGTTCATATAATCCGACTATTTTTACATGGCTAAAATATAAGTTCTAGAAAACTTAAACTAAAATAGACCCTTTATATGCAAATATAATTTCACAAAATTTCTGAATATGTAAATTTTATATCGTGCCCAAATTTTACAATTGTCAACTATTTTATTAGTAGCGTTGAAATATTGGCATAACTGGCGTACATCTAGTTACACAAACTCTTTATTTGCTAGATTAATTGGTTTTCATTATATTTTGTGAGCAAATTAACTGGTATTTATCTACCTTCATCTCAAAGTAAAAAACATATTATAATATAAATATGACGTTATAAGATAAACTTACATGTTTTAGTAACAACTGAGTCCATTTAACAATATAGCGTTTAAGTTAATTCCAAAACTCGTACATGCTTCGATTTTATCTCTAATCAATCTCCGTTTTATTTGGACTTCTATTTCATGCCAGCTATCTGTATATAGCATGATATTCTTAGAAATCCACAATAGAGTCGTGGAAGAGATCCTTTTATCAAAATTTGAAAATGCAAGACAAATGTTAGCTAATTTACATTATTATTTCTCATAGGATGAAGCATGAAAAATTCGATTACACTTTGGCTGACTTTGATGGGGCAATTTATAGGCTTCATAGCATGAGCAATGATAAATCTAAAATTCTACTTGACTTTACCGTCAAATTCTTCAAGGACCTTCAGAAGCATGGTGTGGATGAAGTACACATTTTTTTGACGATTTTTCAGGTCTTAAAAAGGGAATATGGTGAGAATCTATGCGAAAATCCTCAACCCAAATGCAGTGTCTCCCTTATATTTGATCTGGAGAGACTACCAGAGGATTACATTAGCTTGTCTACTAAAGCCGCTCTTCTTAAGCGCAATTGCTTCGCCGCTGTTTTCGAAAAATATTTTGAGTTCCAGGCCCGGGCCGAGGAAGTGAATGATTCAAAACGAGCTGTGATTCATTATAGAGATGATGAAACTTTGTAAGTAAATCTTGATTTTAAAGTTTATGCAGTAACTGAGCCCAAATCAACTGGTAATTAATTAATGAAAAGATATCATATGTATCATGTAATCTGAATTATTATGTATTTATTTACACTAAAAATGGAATATTTTTTGCATAGCGCCTTAAAATGATTTTTACTTGCTCAAC